GCCCTTTATCTTTCTTTCACTAACCCCTCTAGTACTAATAAAAAGTGAGGGCAGATGTTCTTGCCTTGTTCTCAACATCAGAAGGAAGACATTTGGTCTTCCTTCATTAAGTATGAAGTTCTCTGCAGGGTTCATTGTAGTTGTCCTTTATAGGGTGAGGAAATTACCACCTATTTCAAATTTGTTAAGAGTGTTTTCCTTTGTCAAATGCTTTTTCTGTGTTTATTGAGATGGTTGTATGTTTTGTCCTTTATTAGAAAGTTATATAACATTACTAGGTTTTCTAATATGAATCCTCCTTGGTCATGGTATGTAATCTTTTTTATATGTTGATAGAGTTAGCTGGCTAATATTTTTTAAAGGATTCTTATTATTAACATAAGTGGGGTAAATACTACTTCCCTTGTAGGTTTTTTGGAAGTAATTAAACGTAATAATGCACATGAAGTACCTAGCATGGTATCTGATGCATAGTAAGAGCTAAATTAGTGGGAATCATGTTAATTGTGCCTTTGACAAAAATATCTTCATTTAATTACCTCATATAAAGTAATAGGGACAACTTTATAAAATAAATTGATTGGGTTAATACCATAGTCCTGTCATATTCGAAGGTGTCTTAAGAAAGGTAATTGTAATAGTAGCTAACATTTAATCATTACTTCCTATCTTACAGACACTATTTAAAGCCCTTTATAAATTGTAACTGACTTCATTTCCCAACAACCCTATGAAGTGTGTGCCATCATATATGAAGACACTAAGGGCTTATGGAATTTGCTTCAGTAATAAAGAGGTTAGGGACTGAGCTGGGATTTGTACACAGGCAATCATGCTCCAGGGCCAAGTTCTTTAACACTGTGCTATGTGCCACACCATGTGCTAGTCACTCTACAAACATTATATCTACATTTTGTACATGGTGCATAAAATTATTCCCAATGTACAGATATCCTCTCTTGACTTTCAGTTTCCTTTAAGATATTTGCTCCAAATTCACATGTGTGATATGAGATCTGTGTTTAGCCTTTCTATTTTCCTTAGGTATATTTTTAATTGGTTATATCCTTGATGAATCAATTAAGTCATATTTCACAAAACTTCAGAGCTTTTAGAGTTAATCATGCATTTTCTTTTGCTTTGCTAGATGGGAATATCAGAAGTGACTTTTGATCGGGTACAGTTTGAGTAGGGATTTGGGGGAACAGTTACAATATGAAGTAGATCCTTCTAATGTCATGGTTTTCAAGTTTTTTGATTGCAGTCCATAGCAAAAGAATGTACACTTTCATCACAATTCATTAGATATTCTCACAGAGACACCCTGTATTCACAAAAACAAAATTTCATAAATAAAATTTACTCTTATGTCAATAGCATTATCCTGTTATTCAGTCTGTTTTCTGTCTTTTAAAAAAATATACTTGTCACAATGAACCAAACTTGAAAAATCCAGCATTGGAGAATATTGTAGATATCTTCCAATTCTCAGAGTAAGATTTATCTCGAGCTGGTTTCCATAAGACAGCTTGAAGCACGTGAGTGACTCTTTGGACTTATTTGAGAACCATTTGATATCTAAAAGTAGAACCTAAAGAACTCAGCCTCACCCAAAGCTTGCTTCTCTTCTTCCTTTCTTGAGTTCATTGGTCATTTTATTATCCCTTCCCCCCCACCCCCATTTTGTAGAGTCTACATTTCAGGCAGTCTGTAGGGTCTGAGCTGTCAGTGTCAGGAAAAGCAGATGTGTACCCTAATCGCCTTGGAAGAGGAGTTGGTCTGAAGGCATACGGGAAGATATTTCCAAATTATGATCAGTTCTGTGAACAAGATGTATGTAGTTGGTAATAACAGACATATTCAACTTAATATGAGTGTTAGAGAAGACTTATGAGTTTTGAAAGATGAGTGGACAATACCAGGCCATGGACAGCGTTGTGAGGGCAGGCTTAGGTCACAGCACATCATGAGCTTCCAAGGCTGAAGGTGGCATGGACTGCCAGTTGAAATGAAAGGAAAGTCTTCAGTTTAAAGCTGTAAAGATAAATAGGACCAGATAGAATAGGTCCCTGTCATCTTTGGAAAAATTGGAGAGTTTTTGGAGGATGGGTAGTATGATAAAACTCACAATTAAGAAGTGTGGCTGCAGTGTGGAGAATGGATTAGAGAGGCCCAAGATAATATATATGTATACATAGAGAAAGGAGAGGCTGGGGTCGGGAGTGAGCAAGCAGAATCTTTATGCTTTTGCTGGGGTCGGGAGTGAGCAAGCAGAATCTTTATGCTTTTGCAGTGGTCTGGATCAGACATAGTAAAAAAAGAGTATGAAGTAGGCTGGTGGTCTTTTGTTCATTTTCTCTTTTTTTACTAATATACTTTGCAATAAATTTCAGGTGCAATGGGACCAGAGTTGTTAATTTTGGAGCTGTCAACTAAGAAATAGATAAACCATGATATAGCATACTAAAAAACCAAAAAAAGTTACATAAACATGACAATTAAGTCTAGGTGATAAATTATTGAGGTAAAAAGAAGCTCTTACTCTTTTATCTAAAATCAGATTATGACATGAATCTGAATATTCTAGGTATCACCAAATTTTGTCACCGCACATATTTTTTGTTGGGTGCAGTTTTGGAAAATAAAATATTTATCTTCTTCTTCTGAGAGCTAAGTATCTGAGATGGAGGGATTCAGGTCTGGTGTGATTAAAAAAAAAATGGAGATTTTTAGCAGCCAAACTTGCTTCCATGGCTAAATAAGTTTATATTTATACTGGCCCCAAGGGAAGCATGTTGCCTCTTGCCTTGGCCTCTTCTTTCTTTGATTAATATTCTCCTACATGTTGGGACACTGTTATTAACTTGTCACAAGTAGCTCCTCTATCAGTTTATTCTTCAAATTAAAAAAAAATTGCTTAAGCAAAGTCTCAGTAAAAATGTTTGCTCATTCAGTTTGAATTTAATACTCCCACTATTCCCCTGTAGAGTTTAGTGGAATGAAAGGAGAGAAATCCTCTGATCTGTCACCAGGTTGCTGACCCATACCTGGGGACTTGAGACAATTAATAGCAGGAGGGAGAAGGGAGCAAATCAGACTTGCTCTGTGAGCTAACTCAGTCTGGGTTGGTTGTTTCACTGTCAGCTACTTATGCTGGGGCTAGCTCTCTCTTTTTCCTCCTTTTGGTAACCAGCCCTGACCTACTGCACCATTCTACCTCATCTGCCACCCACCCCAATGACTGCTCACATCTCATGAGCAAGCGTGTTTCCTGGTGCTATAGCTGAAAGAAGCCTAATGTCCTGGATGTGATTATGTATTTGTCAGCCCAATGTTACTTACTGGAAGACCTGTAGAACACAATGAGCATAATTCATATTGGTGCAGTTGAAAGAATTGCAAACCAAGTTGCCTAGACCCAGCAACTTTCCCATTAGTAAAGATGCCTAGCCAGTAATTACATGGAAATGAAAGATACATTTTTCTAAAAGATGATCCCAAGCATGCATATTTCAAAGTTTTACAAAGTACTTTCTGTGTTTCTAAGTTCCCCCAAAGCATAATTTCTGACATCTGTGTGAATCAGTTTTCAGAGGTAAACAAAATTTTGTTTTGTTTTGAACAAGGAAGCATAGGGACTATTAGTCTTCAATAGAATGTGCCCTTCTTATGTTAATGCTCCATTGAATTCCTTGCTGCTTTTTTGTTGTTGCTGCTGTTTGTTAGTAATCCCTTCCTTCTTCAGCACAATGAGAATCATAAAGTAGGAAAATGTACTAAGTACGGTTGTCCCATCAATGATATTCTAGCTATTTCCTAAGCAAAGAATTCATCACTGGGAATTGATGTGCATCCCTGTGTACTGCTTGCAGGCACTTAATTCTTTAATTCAAATAAAACTTTAAAATATGATGTAAGTGACATTATGCAAAAACAAAAATGTCAAAACAGTGCTGATAGAGAGAATTTCATTGTGACTAGAAATCATGTCTGTGCTTTGAGCAAAACAGAGCAAATCATCACATAGGAATGGGTTTTTACAGGAGGCTCCTTGCACAAAGCAGAGTGTGTTCTCCTCTCTGCGTGTCTCATTTCCTCTTGTAGGCCCTCTGCCTCACGCTTCTTCAGGTGGGAAGCTCATGTTTGGACATAACATCCTGCTTAAAATCCTGCAGTGACTCCCCAGAACCTACAGACTCATTTATGTGCTCCTGTCACAGGGCTATCTTCTCTGCCAGACTCATGCTTCTTGATCAATACCTGTTGTTTGAACAAATTCAAATGGTTTTCTTTTCTCCACCCACTGAGGTTCCCTCCCCCATGTATGCTTGAATACATGCTATTTTCCTGTTTCAAAATTCACTTTTGCACCTGGAAAACCCTCTGGCTCTACCACTTGTTTGGTTTCCGACCTTATGCGAGGCACTTAAACTTTACTGCACCTTGATCACCTTGTATGAGAGTGAGAGCATGACTGTGATGTGGGGTCCAGCTAAGGAAATGCTTGCTGAGTGCTTCAGAGCCAGCTCCATCACAGACACTCAGCAAAACATCAGGAGATGTTACCTGGATTTTTCTTTCTTTCTTTTTTTTTTTTGTCAGTTTTATTAATCACTCTCTCTCAAAATTTAGCTCAGGTTTTATCTTTGGTGAGAAACTTGCCTTAAATCTCCATCCCAAAGACTAACTTATTTTCTTGTACTGTTCACCATACTTTTATTGCTCCTTTTTTTACAACAATCTTTTTCTTATTATTAATATGGACATGGTTTGTTATCATATTGGTGGGCAGCAAAGTTGTTATTATGGGAAAATGGGTACAAGAATGGCTTAAGGAGGCCTTGTAACTCATATTATGTGGACCTCCTGTGACAGTATGGTTAGGATATGAAAAATATGTAGATTAAGGGGGCTCTCCTTATTTCCTGGGTTTTATAGTGATGTAAACCAGTTAATGAGTGCTTACTATATGCTGAGCCTGATAATAATATTATACTTACCCTATTTGTTCTTCACTATGATCAAATATGGTGGACATTCTTATTTTCATTTTCTCAGGAAGAAACTGGAACCCAAGGTCATGGAGCTTGTGATAGACCATTTACTCCCAAAGTCTGAGCTTTCAGCTCAAGAACATTCTGCTCTGATCTCTAAGGTCTCCTTTGCCTCTGGAACTCCTCAGTGTGTAAAGATATTTGATGCTTCCTTTTCTAATGCCATTTCAGGTATTCTTTCCAAGATGAAGAGGACATGTTCATGGTGGTGGACCTCTTACTTGGTGGGGACCTGCGTTATCACCTGCAGCAGAATGTTCGCTTCCAGGAAGACACAGTGAAGCTCTTCATCTGTGAGCTGGCCATGGCCCTGGACTACCTGCAGAGTCAGCGCATTATTCACAGGTCAGTCAAATCCCAGGAGACAGCCTGGAACTAAATGCACAGCAGAGAATCTATAACCTGATACATTTCAACAAATCCTACAGTGTTCATTTAATTCATACAACAGTCCACTGATGATGGTTAATTGTCCCCATTTTGCAGAATTAAAAAAAAAAAGCTGAGCATATAGAGCTTAATTTGTTTAAGAACACAGTAAATTACAAGATGAGAATCAAGGATTACTGGTACTTTGTTATAACTAAGCCTAATGGAGAGGAGAAAAGGTGACATGTAGGAAGTTGAATACCTAATGAATTAATTTAAATAGAAGTGGAGGAAAGAAATAGGATGGGAAGAGAGAAAATTCTTTGGGGACAAAATTTGTCATGCCCCCTGTATTATGCCCTGTAAATTAAGTCCCTCTCTAACATGTGTACTGCAAAAAGAAGCAGCCAGAACAATGTTTCCTGCACTTGGGGCCTTTGTGATAAGAAGACACATGAGCAACACAAGAAGACATAAACCCACAGGGGTGATAGGGAGAAATGGATAAGCTTCACCTTTGTAAAGAAATTAGTAGTTTTAATGATGATTTCATATGTAGTATCCCACTTGATCTCTAAAATAATCTGTGATAAATGATCGGAGAAGAAATAGATAGACCAGTATTAACTGTGAGAAAACCATGATTTGTAGAGTAATTATCACCCACGCATATTTATAAGCAATGTGAACCTAATCATCAAATCAGCCCCAGATTTACTGAGACTTAGTATGTGCCAGGCACCACTAGGTACTTTACTACATCATCTTATTAAATCCTTAAGCCTCAGAAAGGACTCCAAATTTCATTGTAGTTTTCCCATTTTACAAAGAAACTGTGGCTCATAGATTTGCCAGATTAACAAATGGTACAAGATGAGAATCAAGGATTTAAACCTAAATCTCTGACTCTGAAGTCAGAGCTCTGTTATACCAATTTGCATTAATTACACATATGAAATACATGCTTTGAGTAAAAGATCAGCACATGTAACCACCACTGTCTTCTCTCATTTTGTAAAAAATATCTCTGAGTTTTTAGGCACAATTATATGTTATTTAACAGAAATTTAGCTGGATAAAATATTTGACCACCATCACTTGATATTTATCTATAATTTACCTGGCTTAGTACAGAGTCTTCATGTGAAGATGTAGCACCACATCACACTTTGCATGCAGGCACCGTGAACAAATACATTTTTTTTTTTTTACCTTGACTCTAGACATTTAAGTAGTTGTTTAATTTTCCATCTTTGGAAGAGGCTATTTGTATTGGAAATGTGCTCAGGCAACAGTTAAATGGAAAGCAGACCAGTTAATCAGGCAGGATCTCGGAAATGAATTTGCACACCTGGTGTTTTGTCAATAACCGGAAATCTTGTTTGTAAGCTTTCTCTTTCTCCTGTCCGGGCCCTCTGGTCCTTCATAGATCTTTCTGAAGTCTGTGGAGTCCCTTCCAGAACCTCCACACTCATTTATCCTCCCAAAGGTGCCAGTCACAATTGGGCTGCTGACATCAAAGACATCAGAAAGGAGACAGTGACCGTGAGAAGCCTGCAAGGCCTAGGACTGCCTTCTGGCTTGCTCCTTGCTCTGATTTGAATTCATGCCTTCTTTCTTTAGACTTCATTTTCTCTGTTATCACAAGTTAAGATGCTCTGAACATTTTATCTTGTATTCAAAAGGATATTTCAAGAAGATTTCAGGAGGGAAAAAGAAAACCAGAACACTTGATACAGTTTTCACTCTCAGGAGTTTACCAATATCAAATACTGTTTTCTCTCTGCAATAGCCTCAGAGAAAATAAAATATTTGGGAATCAACCTAACAAAAGAGATGAAAGACCTCTACGATGAAAACTAGAGAACACTAAAGAAAGAAATTGAAAAAGACCTTAGAAGATGGAAAGATCTCCCTTGTTCTTGGATAGGCAGAATTAATATTGTCAAAATGGCCATACTACCAAAACCACTATACAGATTCAATGCAATTCCTATTAAGGTTCTGAAGATGTTCTTCGTAGAAACAGAAAAAAGCACTCATGAAATTTATTTGGAAAAATAAGAGGCCCAGAACAGCCAAAGCAATCCTCACAAGAAAAGTAAAGCAGGAAGCATCACAATACCAGACCTTAAGATATGCTACAGTGCTATGGTAACAAACACAGTATGGAACTGGCCCCCAAACAGACATGTAGATGTGGTACAGAATAGAAGACACAGAGAAAAACTCACATAAATACTAGACAAAGGCATCATAAACATACATTGGAGAAAATATAGTCTCTTCAATGAGTATTGTTGAAAAAACTGGAAATCCATATGTAATAAAAAGAAGCTAGACCCCATCTCTCATCCTGCATAGAACTCAAAGTGGATCAAGGACCTAGGCATTAGACCAGAGACCCTGCACCTACTAGAAGAAAAAGTAGGCCCAACTCTCCATCATGTCAGCCTAGGAACTGAATTCCGCTCCCTCACTCTTTATTGCTTACATCATCTTTTTGCCATGTAAGTCAGAAACCAAGGTTAACTTCCTGTTCCTTGCCCTTTACATACTCATAGGTCTTACTTAGTGTCTGTTTTCAAAGGGCCTTTTTGTACTAAAATGTCTCCTTTCTAGAGCGAATAAAAAAAGAAAACACAGTGACATTTTGAATGCTGTGTTAAAATAATGAGACATTCTTCTAGGGTCACAAATGATTCAGGAGTATTTCTATTGCCATACTCTACCTCCTGTGAGTGATATTTTATAACCTATCATAGAATCTTGTACCTCTCCTGAGGAGATCTGACCTTTTTGGTGTATAATTACTTAATTCATTTGTCTCCTGTAATAAATTGTAAACTCTATGATTTAAGCATGTGTGTGTAGCTTTCTATTATAATACCAGGTTGTGTCAATTGAACACTGGCTGAATCACATGCATGATTGACTAATAGTCTAGGCTTATGAATAATAAAGACAACCTTAAAATACAGTACATTAAGGACAAAGATTTCAGACCTATCATGGTCTTTACATTAGGTAATCATATAATTTACCTTTTAATCTAGGGTAGTTCTGAAAGCTAAAGAGGGTGCTATTATTAATGCTAGGAAGACAATCAAAACTCCTTAATGTTCTGGGCTATTCAGGATGTATATCATCATTATCCAGGCTTTTCATGACACCAGTCCACATAGACATTTAAATTCTGATACTAGAAATCAATTTGATGACATGTCAGTTTGAAATGGTGTCAGATAGCTTGGAAAAAAAAAAAA